CGCCATTATTCGCCTCATACCAAAAACAGGGCAGCCTCCAAACAAAGTCGAAAACTTTCGACCAAGATCGCTGCTAGGGGTGCCTGCCAAAATCTTCGAAAAAATAGTAAACAAGCTGTTGCGGATGTCTCTGGAGGAAGAAGACGTGCATAATCCCCGCCAGTTCGGCTTCCGCCAGTACCGAGGCACATCCACCGCCATAGCTCAGGCCTACGAGCAGATCGCCAATGCCATGACCGGCCGCCTGCAGTGCAACATATGTAGGACTGAGGGACGTCAGCAAGGAGTATGAAAATAAATGGACAATAAAAACAAACAAAACGAAATTCGTGGTCATACCCAAATTCAAGCCGGTTTTCATTGAAGATCGACGACGAAGAGATTGAGTACTCTAAAGAAGGCAGGCTGCTTGGCCTCATCATCTCTCGGACGGGCATCATTTCCCACTTGAAGGACAGACTAAATAAAGGCAAAGTCGCCGCAGCCAAACTAAAATGTTTTAAACTGATGCCTGAGAAGATACAAGTTCACCTGTACAAGGCGCTGGTGAGGCCTGTGTTGGAGTACGCATCTATGCCACTCGTCACACTCAGGAAGACTAGACTACAACAACTACAGAGCTTCCAAAACAAGTGTTTGAGGTCAGCCAGTGGCCAAGCGCCACCCTACCAGGAGACAGTGGAAACCATCCACCTAAGAAATAAAACAGAGGCCCTCAACGTCAGGTTCCATCGCCTAGGGAAGAAGGTTTGGGACAAGCTCCTGGACGACCCTCACATCCCAGACCACCTACGCGGGGAAGACATCAACGAAGGGCGACCCGGAGTCTGGCTGCACTACAACAACCCAACCCGCGACCCATCTACTGTATGTCCACCCTAGATGAAAACTTAGATGATATAAATTTACATTTAACGAGTCTCAATCTAGTGAGTCCATAACGTAATACAGTATAAGATTTTAATAAACTTGTAATTGTAAAATCAATCTAGTCATTGTCTACTAAAATAACCATTGTGCAACCTCATTCTAATCCTAGGTTAGCTTAGTTAGCTAACAAACTCTTCAATATGTAAAACAAGGGGTGTCGTCCCCCTCTGTTTAACTCATTAAACTTCTTTTCCAACCTTTCCCCCACGACTATATGTTGTGACTTCTCTATCCCTCTTGTCTGGCTGTGCCTTGAGCCCCAGCATGCCTTCCATCCATTCCCCACCTTAACCTTAAAAAAAAAAAAAAACAGTTCAACACTGATCCTATTTCTTTCGGAAACGAAATTGTCGCTTTTGGCGGGATTTTGTTGAATTGAATCGAATTGAAACCGTTTATTTAGCCAGAAAAACAGATACAGAGTGGATAATAACAACATTATTAACATGGCTGAGCCAGTTGAGAACCTGAGCTCTCTTTTAGGCACCTGATATATACTATACAATTATCTCAAGGAAGTATTATGTATCATTTAGTATCATCTGGAATAGTACAATAGCATGGTGGTAATAAGAACATCTCATAATGTTACCACGGTTATTGCTTCAATATTTATTAATTTTATTTATTTATTATTATTTTTTAGTTTTATTTATTTATTTATTTATTTATATATACATAAATTACAGTGGAATTGAAAAACATAAGTATAATGGGGGAGCAGTACAACATGGATTGTACAGTAATAAGGTTGAACAAGAGGACAGAGCTGTCTGGATTATGTCTAGTTGGCAATTATGTTCATTGCAATGGTTGACATCCCAGTGGGGAGGTTGGGTTGAGGGGAGGGGGTTGGGGGCTTGGGGCCAACACTGGCCCAGGCCACTGCAGCAGCAGCAGTAGCAGCAGCACCGGATAGAATTTAATAATAATAATAATAATAATAATACTTTTAATAATAATAATAATAATAATAATAATAATGTGATAAAGTTATGGTACACTTGAACTCATGTCTTCTACCTTGTTATGTGTGTATGTACATATGTTATGTTTCTTATTGGGTTTTGTTTTGTTTGGGGTTATATTATATTAGTAATTTTCATTGTTTCTTTCACTTACTAGAATATTCTTTTGTTCTCTTCCAGATGCCATATTGCCCTTGGTCAGTTATATGAACAATAAAGCCTAGAAAAAGGTCGACTCTAGTCTTTTACCACAATTTATTGTTCATAACTGAAACTGAGTCATAATGGAGAAGTTCCTGCGGAGCGACTGGATGCTATGCCGAAACTCTCCCACCGCTTCAAAGGAGTGGCGCCACTGGTTCCGGACCTTCAACACGCTCCTCACCTCCATTTCTGCTTTCGAGCCCGACAAGCTAGCCACTTTGCAACTTCGTCTCCCCATCTGTGTACGAATACATAGCGGACTGTGTCTCATACGACGCCGCCACCGTGGTTCTGCAAGACTTGTACGTAAGACCGAAGAACGAAGTGTTCGCCCGTCATCTACTAGCTACCAGGAGGCAACACTCGGGCGAGAGTTTGGAAATATTTGCAGGAACTTCTTCAGCTCAGCAGGGACTGCATCTTCAAAGCTGTCACAGCAGAGGCGAACAGAGACAAGTATATCCGTGACGCTTTTATCAACGTTCTACTATCTCCTGTGATCAGACAGCGTCTTTTAGAAAACAAGACTCTTGATTTGGCTACTGCGTTCGACCAGGCTCGCACGCTCGATCTGGCTCAAAGAAACTTCGAGTCCTATCTTTGGTCTCAGGCTCCTATGAACGCTACCGCTATTACTTCACATGAGAAAATCGACAGCGATGACTCTCCCCTCTTAGCTGCCACTCAACCACCAAAGTGTTATTTCTGTGGTGGAGCGCGGCATAACCGACCTCAGTGTCCTGCGAGTGATTCAACTTGGCACAAATGCAACACGAAAGGCCATTTTGCGAAAGTATGCAGATCATCTCGATACTCACTTGCTACTTCATCTTCCACTTGTGCGGTCTTACACTCTCCTACTTTGGCTGCAATAACTGCGACCTCCCATGGCTGTCTCGCTCGATCTACCATATATGTGCTTGTTAATGATGATACAGCTACAGCCCTCGTTGATACCGGGAGCTAAAAATCGTTTGTATCAAACTGCTATATCCAGCAGAAGTCTCTGAAGTGTCATCCAGAGTCAGGTCACGTGTCTATGGCCTCGTCTTCCCTATCATCGCCAGTACTAGGTCACTGTACTGTAGACACTACCCTCAAGGGGAAACTTTATCCAGATACTCAACTAACTGTTCTTCCCGACCAATGCAGTGACGTTATTCTTGGTCAAGATTTCATGAGCCTACATAGTGGTGTTACAATTGATTTCGGTGGGCCTAAAGAGCACCTCATCATCGGAGATAATACAGTTGCTTGTAGCCTAACATCTGCTTTGGTCGATACACCATCTCTCTTCTCAAATCTGACCTCCCCCTGTAAACCTGTTGTGACAAAGTCAGGACGATTTAGTCAAGCGGACAGGACTTTCATCCACTTCACCGTGGATGAAAGTCCTCATCATTACTAATGAGCGGCACAAAAAGCGGCTTGTTGTCGACTACAGCCAAACCATCAACAGGTATACCCAGCTGGATGCTTATCCCTTGCCTCGAATAGACGACTTGGTGACTAACCTATCTCCTTACAAGATATTCAGCACTGTCGACCTAAAGAGTGTATACCATCTGATCCCTATACGGGATACGGACAAGCCATTCACTGCCTTTGAGGCGGACGGTAAACTGTACCAGTTCCGTAGGGTCCCATTTGGAGTGACGAACGGCGTGGAATGTTTCCAACGAACCATCGATGAATTCATACGAACAAATGAACTGCTGGGTACTTTTGCGTACATTGACAACATCACCATCGCTGGTTCGTCTCAACAGGAGCACGATGAAAATCTGTCCAGATTTCTTGAGGCAGCAAAGAAGTCAAAATTCACCTTCAATGAAGACAAATCTGTCTTCTCAGCAATGTCGAATGATTTGCTGGGCTACACCATATCGCAGGGCACTCTCAAGCCAGACGCCGATCGCTTGCGTCCTCTGAAGGAATTGCCACTTCCGAAAGGCTTACCTGCTCTACGACGCGTGATAGGACTCTTTTCATACTACTCACAGTGGATCTCACACTTTTCCGACAAGGTCAGACCTTTGGTCAAGGCTCAGACATTCCCTCTCCAAGGGGAAGCAGTCTCTGCCTTCGAAAATCTTTAGAAGACAATAGCAAGTGCGGTAGTCAGCTCGAATGACGAGACGATTCCATTCGTAGCAGAAACCGATGCTTCCGACTCTTCCATCGTTGCCTCCCTGAATCAAGCAGATAGACCAGTTGCATTCTTCTTGAGAACACTCTCAGACAGTGAATGCACACACTCTTCTGTCGAAAAAGAGGCCTATGCTATCGTTGAAGAAGTAAGGAAATGGAAACATTCCTGTCTGGCTGACACTTTACTCTTGTCACCGAACAGCGATATGTGTCCTTCATTTTCCACTCCAAGAAGCTGGGAAATATCAAGAATGACAAAATCAAACGATGGCGGGTCGAACTAGCCTGCTTCGACTACGACATTGTCTATCGGCCAGGGACTGAAAACTCAACTGCTGATGCTCCATCGACAGCCTTCTGTTCGGCTATCAACCACAACAATCTGTCGGATCTCTATCAGCAGCTTTGTCATCCAGGAGTCACAAGGATGGCTCACTTCATCCGCATTCAATACCCTATCTTGTAGATGACGTTAAGAGGTATGTGCTGAGTGCTCTACCTGTGCCAGGTATAAATCTCAGTTCTACATATTCGACACAACCGCCCTCATCAAAGCTACTCAGTCTTTTGAATGGTTAAACATCGATTTCAAGGGTCCCATGCCGTCGACTTCCCGAAATCGATACATACTAACCGTGGTTGACGAGCATTTACGATTCCCCTTCGCGTTTGCATGCAAAGACGTGACCGTGGTTACAGTCATCAAGTTTCTGCGTCAGTTATTCGCTATATTCGGTATGTCTGCTTATGTCCACTCGGATCAAGGCATCTCCTATCATGAGCCGAGAGCTGAGAGATTTCCTCACTGGTTATGGTGTGTGTACCAGCCGAACTACCCCATACAACCCTAGAGGAAATGGTGAGTGCGAGCGCTACAACGGAATAATATGGAAAACCATTACTCTCGCTCTTAGGTCCAAGAACATCGTAGAAACTAATTGGGAGTCTGTGTTACCTGACGCACTTCATTCTATTCGGTCTCTGTTATGTACTGCCACCAACAAAAGGCCTCATCAAAAACTGTTCAACTTCCAACGCAGATCAGCCCTTGGTAGTTCGATGCCAACCTGTCTCTCCCCTCATGGATCAGACTTGCCACGAAGATATGTCATGAACAGTAAGTACGACCCTCTGGTTGATGAGGTTGAGCTGAACTGATTGAGTTATCTAAGGCATCTACCTCGGTGCCCCTTGAACCTACACAGGTCACTCCAGTAGCTGAATCTCCTGTCAAGGACGACCCTTCAAGTGATGCTCCTCTGTATGAAGCTGTTTTAACAGATTCGCCTAATTTTTACGGTTGTCCTGATTGTCTAATTCAGCAAAATGGGTAGAATGTAATAAAGTTATGGTACACTTGAACTCATGTCTTCTACCTTGTTATGTGTGTATGTACATATGTTATGATTCTTATTGGGTTTTGTTTTGTTTGGGGTTATATTATATTAGTAATTTTCATTGTTTCCTTCACTTACGAGAATATTCTTTTGTTCTCTTCCCGATGCCATACTGCCCTTGGTTAATTATATGGACAATAAAGCCTAGAAAAAGGTAGACTCTAGTCTTCTTTCACGACAAATAATAATAATAATAATAATAATAATAATAATAATAATAATAATAATAATAATAATAATAATAATAATAATACTAATAATAATACTAATAATAATATTAATAATAATTGTAAACGCCTTGGTTAAGGACGTTCAGGTGACGGCAAGTCGAAGGGAATGATTGAAACCCGCCTTTTGATGCATTCAATATTTATTGATGTGATCAAAACCTGCAGAGGAGAAGGCGTTCATAATATTACGTGGTGATCCATCTGATACATAATTAGTCTCACACAATTTTATCTTAATTACAACTTATTAAACATACAGTCATAACACAAAGTTCATAACTCTATTAATCTTAGCTCGGGTTCATTCTGCATTCTTATTACTCCACAAGGGGTATGTAATGAGACAAAATCTCACATGAAGAGGTAAGTTAGGAGTTTATAGTAGTAGAGTATTATAGCGAGAGGAAATGGTAGCGTGTCTCGAGGGTGTGATGTCAACACTGTATATTAACACAGGCACAGTACAAGTGTAGTATATAAAACACCAATGCGTGTTACAGCTTTATTTTACTAGTTCAATAGGGGGGATTAATAGGGGGGGTTCGTACACAATTTATGATAGACTATGGTATTCTCGTATAACCTAACCTCACAATTAGAATGGGCACTTCACTAAGTCGATCGTTGGGGAGGTTCGGGATCACTGCACTTCTACAGTCTACACAGCCAGCACTTACTGTTACACGTGGAGTTGACAGCACTTTGTCGATGGACCCAGCTGAGACTTCGTTACACTTAGTGGTGGGCTTCTCTCGAGCGGGACTGGGGACGTGGTAGCTGGCTCTCCCTGGTTACAAGACAACTCCTTCTCTGCCAATTGCCGAGAGAGGACCAGGACGTCCTATATATTGGGATGCGAGCCGTCCGGTTCAGCTGGCCGGGGGGGGGGCTGCGAAGGGTCTCCTTACATTTGACCTCGCCAATGTGAGGTCGGGTCTGGACTTTTCAGAACTATCTGGGAAAGTCATCAGGTGGGGCCGTGTGTATATTGGGAGAGCAACCGTGAGAGTTCCCCTACACTTGACCTCCCTAATGTCGGGTCAGACTGGAGTTTCTGAGATGTAAGGAGAAGTCATCAGGTGGGGCCACACGAGAGGCCCTGGTTGATTTGTGGCCCCTTGAGTTGGGCTCCGAGGGTTACATTTGACCTGGCTAATGTGAGGTCAGGTCCGGCCTTTGTTCAGAGAGTAGGTTATTGTATATTGGAAGAGAGTCGGCTGGTGCCTTCTTACATGTCTGTTGCGGTGACATGTCACATGGGAGGGGAGCTAGTTGATTTGTAACCCCCGGTCCACCGTGAGAGCCACCCTACACTTTTGACCTGGCTAATGTCGGGTCAAGTCTGGCTTTCCTCGCGATGTAAGCTGTGGTCTGACAACCCCTCACTACAGGTATGTCACCACTTGCTGTACTTACAAGTGCGGGTCAATGCAGATCAGTATGGTGTTCCAAGAGACAAGAGTACTGAGTAAATTGTCCCAGCACAAATTCTCGGACAGGATTGTGAGTCGGTGTTCACCAGTGCAAGTAGAAGGCTGGTCTTCACAGCATCACTAGAGAGGGAGATCTGTCTCATGGCGGTGCGGGCAGCACCGCCACCCGCCGAAGACAGTCCACTCAGCAGAACCAGGACTTGTCTATAAACAATTCTACATTTGGCGAGGTCACAGGTCGAAAGATTTAATGGCATCACACGCCAGCACTGTAGCTGAAGCCAGGGGGATGACATAATAAAAAATAAAAAAAAATAATAATAATAATAAACGGTTTATTGAAAGAACATGGCAGCCGGAAGTTTGAAAATATACAAATACATAATTGGGAAATGGTTCACTTGATTGGCAAAATATAATATACAAGTAACATAAGCGATAAAAATATGATATATAATAACAAGATCAACAATGTAAAAGTAAAAGTAAGATTGGCTGGGAGTGAATACACTGGTTATTGTGATACAGTTCACATAATTTAGTGAGCAGCGCGTTGTTAAATATACTTCAGTTATCTGTAATTAGAACGTTAGGAGTGCCATGCCTGTCGAGAATACGACTCTTAAAGGCTCCGGCAATTGTCTTTATGCTTTATCAAGGATAGGTGCTAGTTCACAGTAACGTGTAAACGTGTCTATCATTACTAAAAGATATTTATTATTATGCTGAGTCTCTACTAGACCACCTAAAACATCCATGCTAACCTTCTCCCAAGGTCGAGAGGCTGTAGGATATTTGAGAACGGGGAGAGGTGTGGACAATTGTCCACATATTCTGAAATCTGTTTAGCCATCTTGGGCCAAAAGTATTTCAACCGCATCTGTTTAATGCATCTGTCCTTGCCTGGGTGAGCTAGCTGTGGAGTGTCATGCATGAGGACTAGTAGCTCGTGTAAGCGGGGCAGGTATGGCTAACTGAGCTACAGTACGAGGAGGAACACCAAGTTTGGTTTGCCGGCGAAGAACATTATCGTGAACAACAAATTCACGAATAGGAACAGCAGGTTTAATGTCTAAATTAGGCGTACCATCTTTTACATAAGACAATATACATGACCACATAGGATCAGATTCCCGCACGTACACTGTCAACATCAATTGAAGGAAACACAGGCGCTAGTGCAACATGCCTAGATAACGCGTCTGAGACAAAATTATTCCTTCCTTCTAACTACTTAAGCAATGGTTTGAACTCCTGAATAGTGAGAAACCATCTGGCAACTTGCCTGACAACTCTTTAGTGTTAAACAACCTGACAAGAGATTTATGGTCTGTAGTTACAACAATTGGATATCCATAAACATAATTGCGATACTTCTTTAAAGACCAGAACACAGCTAAAGCCTCTAACTCAGTAACACTGTAGTTCTTCTCTGCTTTAGAGAGATTACGACTAGCATATGCTATTGGAAGTTGCTTTTCTTTTTTCTCTTGTGATAACACTGCCCCTAACCCACTGTAGCTGGCGTCTATGGTTATCATAAAAGGTTTGAAATGTCTGGAAAGCAAAGTATAGTAAGGTTGTCTTTCAATTCAACAAAAGCACAATGTTGCTGTTCTTCCCACTTGAAAGACCCATCTTTTTTAAATAAATCAGTTAAAGGAAGAGCTATTTTTACAAATCCCTGTATAAAGGAACGGTAAAAACCCGCCATACCAAAGAAAGAGCGTACATCATCTGCGGACTGTGGTATAGGATATATACGGTTGGTCTCAACTTTGCTAGCATCAACACTAACTCCTTCTTGGTCAACCACATGCCCTAAATATTGTATTCTAGGTTGTAAAACTTACATTTGGACAATTTTAACTTTAAATTAGCATCTTGTAGTTTAGCTAACCCATGTTCCAGTCTTACGAGGTGTGAGGACACGTCTGGAGACATGACAACTATATCATCCAGGTACACTAGGACTTCAGAGCCTAAAATGGAACGAAAGATACTTGTCATCAACCTAGAAAACGTAATCAGGCTACTATGTAGTCCAAAAGGCATGCATAGGAATTCCCAATGTCCCGAGGGTGTACTGAAGGCCGTTAAGGGTCGACTTTCCTCGTCCAATGACACTTGCCAGAAACCTGATAGAAAGTGCAGGGTAGAAAAAAAATTACTATGACCTAGACTCTTCAACAGATCTCCAACAAAGACATCGGGAAACTGTCGGGAATAGTGACTCTGTTAAGATGACGATGCTTGAATTACGCGTTGAGCAAGCATGTCCTCCACACACTTGTCTACCATTGCTCTATGAATGAGTGAGGCAGTAAGCAAGTATGCAGATGGGATTAGTTCTGGGTTGCAAGTTAATGTGGTGTTGAACAAGGTGGGTCTGTCCCAGAGGTTCTCCCTTCAGTGCTATGGCAAACCTGTATTTGTTGAGCAAGTCTAACAGTGTAAGTAAGGCCTTTGTGAATCTTGTAGGAGGAATGTGACTAGCGTTAATTAATGAAGGGGGATTTGCTGTTCTGGGGTTAAATGATTGTTCAGTATCACATTGAGTTTTGAGTACGTTAGGCACTGTGTTAGTTACAGCGACTTGGAAAATCATTGAGTTCTTCGTCTTTAACGGATCCCTTAAGAACAGAGAATGCAACAATCTTCGTACCATGCCTGAAACGTTGATGAGTAGAGTTTCACCGTCCCATCATGACTCTGGTTTAGCGAACCGTCTCTGTTAATCCCTCTCGCCTTCACAGTGGACGGCTCGACGAGACAGCAAATCTTAAACCTAGGATCAGTATGATCGAGACCCCGTTGCTCTAACAAATTAGTATCTAGCTTGAGGGAAACTGCGGTTAACTGATCAGGGCTCAGGTGTACATCATGTGTTAGTTTCCCTGGGCACACACAAGAGAAGTAATAAGTGCTATTTTGTGGGACAACCCCCACTGCTGTATTGAAGACTTCACCTAATTGGTTATTTCTGTATGAGAGAATCTGTCTATCTAAATTATTCGGGAGAAAAACCTCGTTCACTTCGGACGACTCGTCCATTAGTCCGTAATTCTGTACGGTATTAGGAGTTTGACGTACATACG